ATATAATTTCTTCCTGTAGGTGGTCTTGACAGCTTGGTATATGAGAAACAGCAGAAACTGGATTATGATGAAAATGCATGGACTGGGTGATGGACCTTATTGGATGATTTCATGCTTATTTTTTGTCATATCAGCAGGTACATGCTATGCTTTGTGATATTGGCTCAGTCATAGGTAACGATCCAGCTAGCAATTATATATTTGTTTCATCTTTGAGTCAATTAATTTCATGTGATTGACTTGCAGGGTTGAGATTCTTCACACTCAATTATACAGCATCCAGTTTGTGTTTTATTTTATCTATATAAACCTGCAAATTTCTCTGGCCTTCATTAGCTGTGCTGTTTTCAAATGTGAAGACCGCTGCAGGTTTGTGCAAACTTTTTATATATTAGAGTAGGGTTAAATTCAATTTTGTTGTTATCTGTGAAATAATTTTCATTCTGTGAATGAAAATTTGAATGAGTGCAGTTGTCGGATACATATGCATTTTTGGAACTGGCCTCTTGGGTTCCTTTCTTTTCAGGTCTTTGTTCAAGATCAATCATTTCAAGTAAGTTAAAATGCAAAATGAAGTTATTCTCTCGTCTGTTTTCTGTTTGTTTGAACATGAATGGTATCACTCGTCATGTGATATTTCTCTTTCTGTAGGAGGCTGGTCATTGTAATGGAGTTATATCCTGGCTTCTCTCTTTATCGTGGGTTATATGAATTTGGCAATATTCCTTTAGGGGTCACTACATGGGGATTGATGGTATGAGGTGGGCAGATTTGGCTGACAGAGAAATGGGATGAGAGAGATCTTGATTATCAGTTTGATTGAGTGGGTGGTGGTGCTTGCATCGCTTATTATATAGATAAAATGTGTCATCTGGAAGTGCAAAAGGTCCTATGTTTTTCTTGCAAAACTTTAAGAAGAAACCTCATTCATCTACTCAGAGGCTGCTTTGGGAGGCAGGGATCTAAAGTCTTTGTTGAAATAGACAAACCTGATGTCGTTCAGGAGGTAGCTTTTCTTGTTTCTTGTTGAGTTACTTTATCTCCTTTACTGGTACAGGTTTCTGAAGAGTGTTGATAAGTCCTTGATATATGGACCAGCAAGTTGTTCTGTCAAAAAACATTGATTTATCTTTTGCATCCACAAAGTAAACATATTGTCTGAAGTAGTGATCCATCAGAAAAGATTTAAACTATCAACTCTAAAAAGCAATTCCATGATTTTTTTCGCTCTATCTTAGGGTTTGTTCCACATCAAATGCTTCTCCCCTTAAATATTCGAAACAGAAATTTTGCTGTAATTTATTATGGAATAAGAAATTTGTTGATGGGCTCTAGTGTGGTTCTACTGCTTGTAAATGCTGTGGGGGGCCTAGTATCAGTAACAAAATTTTGCTGCTTATACTTATATAAATCTATCAATTTCTTATTTTGGGTCTTCATTGGTGTGATCGCCAGTTCTTCTATAATTCTAATTTTGCTCATCTTTTACTGTCCAGAGAGAGAAGGTGAGCAGTTGCTGCTTGAACCTAGCACAAGCTATGCAGTCATCGTTGATAACCTTAGAAAGATATACCCTGGAAGGGATGGTAATCCTGAAAAATTGGCAGTAAAAGGGTATCTCTTGCTTTACCTTCAGGGGAGTGTTTTGGCATGCTTGGTCCTAATGGCGCTGGCAAAACCTTTTTTATGGTATGGTAAGTATAATATACACTTTGTGCTCCCCAAGATAAACATGGTTGGATATTCCCTTTACTACTCTTTGGGACCAAATACAGGGCAAGGCTCTTAGGACCCAGAAATAAGGAGAAATACTGAAATAATGGAAAAATCTCAGAATGGGCTTCTGTAAGCATAAAAAATCTTTTGGTTCTATACAGAGCTGTTTACTGTCAAAACATTCTTAGCCACTTAATTGCTTCTAGAAGTGTGTATCTACTTTATTGGAGAAGTTTTGCTTGTTGTGGACTCTTCTTGCATCTTCAGAAATAAATATTTGCTGTGCTTCTGCAAAATTGAAGATTTATTTTTTGTAACAGATGATTGGGATCACAAAGCCAACCTCTGGAGCAGCATTTGTTCAGGGTTTTGACATACAGACTGAAATGGATACAATATATACCAGCATTGGTGTATGCCCTCAGGAAGAGTAAGCTAGAAATCTTTTCCTTCTATGCAGAAGAATTCTTATCATCCTGTACAAATGTTGAAATATTTTGACATTTCATTGCATTTACTGGACAATTTAGCCTGCTGTGGGAAAACCTAACAGGAAGAGAGCACTTACTATTTTACGGCAGACTTAAGACCTCAAAGGTTCTGCCTTGAAACAAGTAAGTCCGTTTTATCATTTACTTTGACCTTTATTTTTGGATAACTGGTACTTGCATCAGGATTTGTAGTTGGAATTTAATATAAACCTGTACTTCTTCTATTTTTGTGCTTTCCCTATGGAAGTTGAATAATTTTAAATAATCTAAACTATTATGGTTTAGAAACAAGGAGCAGTTATAGTACAGTAAATTTGTACCAAAGAAGTATGTGGGAGTTAATCCGAAAGTAAATCTGCATCTTTGCATATATCTGTCTAGCGCTCCATCAAAATTTAACGCAAAGATCAATCTTATGTTGGAGGTGGGGATGAAGATAAAAGGCAATACTCTTTTGCTAGCAATGTTCACCAAGTAATAACTTTTACTCTCTTCTCTGTTCCTATTTGTTTCCGTAGGCAGTAGAAGAATCCCTCAAGAGTGTAACCTGTTTCATGAGGGGGTTGCCGACAAAAAAGCTGGGAAATACAGTGGAGGTATGAAGAGGAGGCTGAGTGTTGCCATTCAATGATAGGGGATCCCAAAGTATGTCACGTCTCCTTCAATGTTTTTGTAAGACTGAGAACTCTTGGATAATTGTATCTACAACGCTACTTGGCTAATCATTCAAAATTTCACAAGGTTGTTATATGGATGAGCCCAGTACCGGACTAGACCCAGCTTCAAGGAATATTTATGGATGTTGTGAAGCGTGCAAAACAAGGCCGTGCAATTATTCTCACCAGTACTCTCTCTCTCTCTCTCTCTCACACCACACAAACACCCATTTACAATCATCAAAACATAAGTCTATCTCCCTTTCTTTTATAGTTCATGGACGCTAGTTAGGTTGTCACTCTTCATCATATATGTTGACAGCAGAACTAGAAGATTTTCCCATCAGTATAATTGATAAACTTGCTTGAGTTTTCAGCCCATTCTATGGAGGAGGCAGAGGCCCTATGTGACCGTAGGAATTTTTGTAGATGGCAGCTTGCAATGCTGGAAACCCAAAAGAGGATACTAAAACAATCTATTGTATTTGTAGGTACAACTCATAGAATGGAACGTCTTTTGCATGATGAGCTGACTTACGAATTGGAGACTTTTTCAATATGGTTCTCAAGTTGCAGCTCATTATTGCATGAAGTTTTATGACACTGAAAATCCACAGTGCCAGTTTATTCCTTAGGACTTTGAGCTTACTAGATAGTCTTCTGTGTTATTTGAGAGCGGTTTTCGCTTTAATTATTAAACAAATAGTTTATTCATTCATGGTACTGACTTCGAAATAATAGGTATTTGACAGTTAAGGGCTAGATATGGAGGATCATATGGTTCACAATGACAACATCCGCGGATCATGAGGCAGAAGTGGAGAGTATGATAAAGCATCTCTCCCCAAGCGCTACTAAGATATACCAAATATCTGGAACCCAAAAGTTTGACTTCCGAAACATGAAGTTCGGATTGCAGATGTATTCCAAGCTGTTGGGATGCCAAGCGCAGGTTCACCGTTTTTGCTTGGGGTTGGCTGATACCACTCTGGAGGATGTCTTCATCAAGGTTGCACGCAGCGCCCAGGCGTTTAACGATCTGTCTGATTTGTCACATAATATTAGATTATCTTGAGCTGCTTCATAGTATGGATCATATCAGTTTTTGGGATGACAGCATTACTCTAGTGGCTTGTACATTCTTGAAATTGTAGGTTTGAAAATGTAATAACAAATATGATGGAAATCTTTGTGATTAGTTGCCAATTTCATCTAGCAATATTTGTTCGTATTCATTTGGTGTATATATTCTTGGTGTTGACAGGATATTGTCAAATTTACAACCCAAACAAATGGTTGCCTAGACCTGTATCAACCATGAGAGTTTGAATATTCTTAGCCCTGAAGAAATTGTTAAACCATGGAAAAACAACTAAACCAAATTCAAACTGATGTTTTGACAAATTTGTATCAGAGCTTCTACGATGACCATGAAATCATAAAAGTCTTGTGTCAAACTCTGAATTTCAGAGTCAGATGATAAAATATTAAATAGAAGATACTTATCCTTCAATACGTAATTGGGCAGCAAAATTTGAAGAAAAAATCCAATCTATCCCATTAGTAATTATTTCCTTGTAGTCTGAGAGATCGAATTGATTTTTTTCCTAATTAAATATTATTTAGATGTTTTTAAGAGATAAGTTATTATATATATATATATAATATATATATATATATATATTATATATATATATATATATATAAAACAATCATACAAATTATTACTATAAAATGACACCGTAAACTTTGTATGATGATTAATTAATCATCTATTAATTATTAAGTTATCTGCAATTCAAAATCAACCAATCACATTAAAAATACCGGTTTATATATATATAAAGTTTATAGAAAAGTTTACATAATTAAAACCCATAACAATTTCCATTTCATTGAAGCAAATAAATTAAGAAATAGTTGTTACCTAGAAGAGAATATTTAGTATTGAATAATTCATTAATATAATATTAAATTATTCTCATCTAAATAAGAAGATAGAGAAGGAAAGAACAACAAAATTCGGTAGTGACACATAATAAGGTTTACCTTTTCAAAATTTATCATATCAAAAGACTCGTACTTTTTGTTTAAACATCTTCTCTTTCCTATCTTTTCTATATTACATCCTTATCCTCTTCCAACTCTCTCTGTACATTTATATTATATATATATCCATGCTCATTTACAATGGCTAAGATACATACAATGGCCAAGTTACATTTGTTTTGTAGTTTTGTGTTGCTGGCTTTGGCTTTTGCTGGTGCCAACAGCTGTGAGAAAGTTGGTGTTTATCAACTCAAGAGAGGAGATTTCTCTTTGAAGTTCACTAACTATGGTGCTACTATGCTTTCTGTCATCGTACCTGATAAAAATGGTCTGTTTTTTACTGCATATTTTGCTTTAATTTTGTTAACAGCATGATTAAGTTTGCTGATCTTTTCATTTGCTTTTTTTATATTATATATCAGGAAAGTTAGCCGATGTTGCTCTGGCATTTGATTCACTTGAGGACTACAAGGTTTGATACTCTTCAATTAATCTAATGACTTGGGTTGAGATCGGAACAGATTTTAAGTTTAATCTAGCAACAATATGTCTAATTAGAGCCAGTAAATTATATTATTTTGGCAGAATGATACATGTTACTTTGGAGCCATTGTTGGACGTGTAGCCAACAGAATTGGAAAGGCTCAATTTACTTTGAATGGCACTCGCTATCAACTGGTTAATAATGATGGAGATAACTTGCTTCATGGTATTTTTACAGTTATATTCATTAATTCAATTATTTTCTGAATATCATTATATTTATTTCGATTTTCAATTCATTTTTGTTAAATATATCAGGAGGACGCAGAGGATTTAGTGATGTTATATGGACAGTAGAGAGTTACAAAGAAGATAGCCACATAACTTTCACTTATGAGAGCTTTGATGGTGAACAAGGTGAAAACAATTTTAATTAAAAATCTATGATCGATCCATGGACATTTCTAAATCTTGTTATAATTCGGGGTTTTTTTGATAAATTTTACAGGTTTTCCTGGTGATGTTGCTGTTTCAGTGACTTACATGTTCATAGAATCAAACAAGTTAGCTGTTAACATGAAAGCTAAGGCACTCAACAAACCCACTCCAGTGAATTTAGCCCTGCATACTTACTGGAATCTTGGTGGCCATGACAGCGGTGACATTTTTTCACACAAAATCCAACTCTTTGGATCACATATCACCCCAGTTGATGATGATCTCATTCCAACTGGTAAAATTACTCCTGTTAAAGGAACTCCCTATGATTTCCTCGATGCTCGTGAGATCGGTAGCAAATTCAAGGAGCTACCTGGTGGATATGACATTAACTATGTGCTAGACAATCCATATCCTAACCACCTAAAAAGGGTAGCTGTGGTGAAGGAAAATGTGTCAGGGAGGAAAATGGAGCTGTGGACTAATCAGCCTGGTGTACAGTTTTATACAAGTAACATGTTGGGGCATCTGAAGGGGAAAGGTGGATTTGTTTACTCAAATTATGCAGGACTTTGCTTGGAGACTCAAGGATTCCCAGATTCAGTGAATCATCCCAATTTCCCTTCTCAGATTGTACATCCTGGAGAGACTTATGAGCATGTTATGGTTTATAGGTTCACTGCTAATTAGCTATTCGTATAAACCTAGGTACATGGTGCATTTATAACAATTTTTTTTCTTTAATTTTGCTGGCTTAGCCAAAAATAGGTTCTGATGCTACTTCTGTTTTTGGTATTCGATGAATTGAAATTTCCCCTTGATGCAAGTTCTGCTGTATATTTGCCTCCAATCTAGTTGTTCGAATATCAATAATTCAATAGGTGAGATTCATGAAGTTAATTGAAAGTCATTATTTCTGTGTTTTGATACATCAGTCAAGAGAGTTATCTAACAAGACAAAGTTCTTTAATACATAAAAGAGGTTTTTCTACCTGAAAGCTCTGCCTCTATCTTCAGTAACCTACCTATTTTCCAACAAGTTACACATTTTTCTGATATCACAAAGGGTTTGAAAATATGCAAGCATCTTTTCATGCGCAGCCTTGGCTTTGATGCCATCTAAAGTGATGCTTTGTAAAAGCAGGAGAGCTGAAATTCAGAGGTCTTGGTGGTTCCAAAAGAAGGATCTATGGGCTATGGGTCCCCAAGGCCACCTTATGTTTCAAATCAAAAGGTTAGGTATGCCAAATATCTTTAGGTGGGTTAAATAAATGAATGGACCTTCCACTACACAAGCAAAGAATATATTCTGGTTTGATTGGTTTTGTTAATACTCTTATAAAAATATTACACCAAACTTACATATATCTACTTGTTCAACAACTAGTTTGGTCACAAATTATGATGAGTAGAATGTCTGTAAGTAAGCGCTAGAATGCTGAGTTTTTACTTCCCATAAGATTATTTATCTAACTTTTAAACTTGTAACCAATTGCGTTATTTACTTCATAAATAAAGAAGAAATTTTTTTTCTTTTTCCTTTTTTCTTTTTTTGGGTAATCGAGACGTCTAACTTAGTTTGCGCGTACCTTAATTAATCCTTGAGGTTCATTGAACACCCTACAAGCCTCATGAAGTAAAGTTTTTTTTTCTCTTTTTTTCGATAACTGGGGTATCCGGGTCAGTTTGCACGCACCTCAATTAATCTTCAAGGTCCATTGAACACCCTACAAGTCCAAAGGACCAGGTAAGCTACAATGTTATTGTGATAGGTAACCCCAATATTTAAATCCAAGAACTTAAGAAAAGAAGCAAACCTGCTTGATCAACAAGCTAACCCAAAGGGGTTTTGAAGAAGGAAGAAGTTCCTGATTAATTTAGAAAAGAGAATTTCAAAACTGTGCAAAACAATCTCAGCTTTTGTATTATCAAATGCTACTCTTGATCAACTAACTTGATCAACAAATTACAAATTAACTAAAGGTTAAACTTGAAAGACTATTCTCGGTAGACGAAGGCATTTGAAACCGGCATAACGGGCAAAGATTACTCTTCTCCAACCAATTCACAATGCAGTCTTGATGATACACATGAGAGCAAGGCATGCATGTAGCTTCTGATCCAATGGAAATCTCCTCCAAACATATCACACACTGCTTTGAAAACCCTACAATTTTAGTTCTTTTGAGCGCCTCGATTGAAGACTGACTTGCCGGCACCGGATGGACAACTTGATCGTTGATGGATCTTGTAGCAGCGTCAGAAATCGCATCTTCTTCACAAATTTCAGCCTTGATGATCACAACTAGAGGAATAACATTCAAGTCTTGGCTGACAATTGAACGTGCGTAGTCAATAATCCTGAATATCATATCAGAATGAGCGTAAAAGGGTACGTTCATCTCTGAGAGCTTGGAAGATATTGCAGACCATGTTGATCTGTCATGCAATAAATGTTGCTGTGACAGCACCAGGTTTGTGTATATGGTTAAGTTGTCAATGGCGTATAAAAAATCAATTAAGAAGGAGGTTTCATCTGAGAAACTGTCATCATCAGGTACGAAATCTTGAGGCTCATAAATGTTACAGCGAAAAACAACAGTAGACATGATGGAAAAGACTTACCTGTTGAAGAAGTGAGAGTGGAAAGTGAAAGAAGAGATCAGATTGATTTCTTGAAGAAGGGAGAAGGAAAGAAGATAGTAATGTCGCTGTTGGGGAAGGTAACAAGAATGAATATATAGAGAAACCCGTTAAGTAATTAAATGTGATAATTGAAGTAGGATTAGGAATATATACAAATCCAGACGGCGTTAGGAAGAGAGTGACTTTGAAGCTAAAAGAGGAGTTGTTTATGGTGGTTGAAGTTTCTAAATTTATGATGTCCTCAGCGGACTGGGAAATTAGTATCTTTAATCTTTGTAATGACTTTGTGTTACAAGAAAACTCTTCCTCTTCAAGTTTTTGTTAAATCATTAAGTTAGAATTTTTTTTTTTTTTTTTTCTCTGGTTAAGTGATAGTTAAACGATAGAAGAAGACAACCACCATTGGGTGGTTTGAGAGTAAAATAGTAAAAAAAGATTTTATGAACTCTTGAATTCAAGTTCCCATAGACTCTAATAGAGGTATCCACTGAGAAGCTTATCTGGTCCTCAATTTCAAAATTACGAGAAAATTAGTTAAATTGCCAGTAATATGAATAATTGAATCTATCATGAATTCTGTCTATTCAAGCTCAAATGCAACATATTAAGGGCATTTTAGTAGTCTCTTCATCGTTCTTGCTATGTCATCATTGTTTGTATTTAATTGTTAACTATCCTTATAATTCAGAATATTTAATTTCTGTTTCCTAATTAATTATAAAAAATTTCATGTATTTAATATCTTAGTCATAGAAACAGAAAGTTGTTATTCATTTTAATTATTTGTGCACCTCTCATTTTTTATAATTTTCTTTTAACAAGAATACTCAATTAGAGAGTAAGTAATGAGGGGGCAAAAACTACTTTGGTTTAAATAAAATTTAAAGATATAATTTGAATTCGGATTAGTTATCATTTAAAGCAAGGTTTTAAAACCCGACCCCAAGTGAAACCCGACAAAATGGTCGGGTTTCGGGTTGACTGGTTGAACCGGTTTGACTAGCGAGTCAAACTGGGTGACGTCAACATATAAAAAGGTTTGAAATCCAGCAAAAACACCCTTAAAAATTACACATAAGCCCTACAAGTTTGAAATCCTACACAAACACCCAAATTACACTACCGGCGTTGACAACCTAGGCCAAATAGGGCCTTTTTCTGGCGTCGAAAACACACCCCATTACCACAAAAACTCTCCCCTCAGCCTCCTGACCAAAACTCATCTCACCCCACCCTTATTTGCCTCACCAATTAACAACAATAGTAGGTTGATGCCGCTGATTTATTTCTATGATTTTCAATCAGTTCACTCACCGAAAATCAACTTTGTCATCACCATTCAACTTACCAGTCATTCCTCTTCAAAAGCCCCAACATTCCACCACCCATTGGTTGCCGATCATCGTCCTAATTTTTAGGGTTTAAGATAAATAGTAAAATTTATAACCTAACCTGATGAAGTCTCCAAGTCTCGGTTCAATCGGCCAGGTTTTAAAACCATGATTTAAAGATCAAACACCAACCCACCTCTCAAATGATCTGATAACCTCAAAAATAAATCTTCTTAGGAATTCGTAACATCATTAGAAACACTTATATGAAAATGGTGACTATAGATAATAGTTTTATTTATTATATTAAGCAAATAATAATTATGCTTTTATTAGTTTTGTTAATACTCTTCGGGAGGTTTGGATCGAGGGTATATAAGATAACGGAGGTAATCTTATATACTCCGGTATTTGGTTTACAAGTAAAAAAATATTACAAGAATCTTTTATTGCAAATAGAAATAGTGTTTAATGTTGGTAATATTAGGGGTAATCCAATAAACCGCCCCTTGCGGAATTAAAACATTACTAGGTAATCTTATTTTTTTTTTACATATTTCACCCTTAATTAAATACCATTTTAGATACAATTGCCTTCAAATGTCTATCAAATAACAATTACCCAACCCCCCTACATTTGAGAAATTAGCTAAAACACCTCAACCACAAAAAAGTTTAAAAGTTAACAAAATACCCCCAACCACCTAAAGATCACCGCCGGCCCATTAATCACCACCGCCGTCTACCAACATCAGTTGCGTAATGGTGCACAATCAGTGGGATCTGACTAGTAGTGCCCCGATAAGGCCTTTTCCGGCCATGGATCACAGATTCATGGCAAAAAACGACAAGATCTAGTGTTTATATGGTTGTTTCACGACCAAAGATGTGGTTGTAAAATAGCATGGCCAAAGATCTGGTCTTTTCATGGCTAGATCTATGGTTGTGAAACGACCACATCTTTGTCCATGAAATGGCCATAGATCTGGCCGTGAAACCCAGAAATGGCTTTGCTAAAGCACGGCCAGCCATATACAGCCAGTCATGCGCCATTTCGTCGACTGTCAGTAGCAGCCGACGGTAGTGGTTGGTTACCGGCAGTGGCTTGGGGTGGGTGAGGGTGATTTTACTATAAATTAAAGTTTTATATGGCCGAGGTGTCTTAGCAAAATTTCAAATATAGAGGGTTAAAAGAAATGATTCAAAAAATAGTAGAAAAAATTACCATTATATTAATATTTAAAAAGGAGGGCAATTTAGTAATTTATATAACATAACTAGTCATTTATCCTCCCAACCAAACATATTACTCACCAATTTATTCAAAGCAACCAAACACAATTTCTAAACAATCCTAGTAATCTTCAAGGTGATCAATCTTTCCGTTAATATAATATCCTCATATAATAAAAATATTATATGATCCAAACGCCCCCTTATAAATAAAACAGTATACCAAACTCCCAAACCTACCAGTTCAACAACTAGTAATGATGTAGAATAACAATAAGGGTGTGTTTGGTTCAAGGAATGTTGGATTATTGGGATTGTTATATTAATAGAAAGTTATTACCTTGAAGATTACTGGGAATCTTTAGGTTGCGTTTGGTTCAAGGTGATATAAGATTAATCCTGTAATCTTTGTTTAATTTTCAAGATTCCCTCGTTTGGTTGTCAAGTAATAAAATATTACGTGATCTTTTATATCAAATAGTGTTTGTTGTTGGTAATATTGGGAGTAATCAAATTACCTTCCCAATGGGTATTAATATAAGATTACAGAAGTAATCTTAATTTTGACCCTATTTTGCCCTTAATCTTTTATCTTATGACACATTTGACCTCATATGTCTACCAAATAACAATTACCCAGACCCCTTACATTTGAAAATATAGCTAAAACACCCCAACCACAAAAAATTTTAAAAGTTAACAAAATACCCCCAGTCACCCAAGACCACCATCGGCCACTAGCCACCATCGTTGGCCGCCGGTGAAAGTCGCCATATCGGGGCAAAACCGATGAGATCTTGCCAGTCATGTGTTGGTAAGGACGTTTTCGACCATGGATTTGTGATCCATGGCTGGAAACGACTAGATCTGGCCGTTTCACGGCCACATCTTCTGCCGTGAAATGGCCAGATCTAGCCATTTTTTACCATGGATCAAAGATCTTACTGACGCACGACTAGCCAAATCCGATTAGTCGTGCGCCATTACGGCGGCTGCCAACAATAGCTTGGAGTGGGTGGGGGTGATTTTATTACAAATTAAAGTTTTATATGGCTGGGTGTTTTGGCAAAATTTCAAATATAGAGGTTTACAAGAAATAATTTAAAAATAATAGAATAAAAAAATAATAATACTATTATTATTTAAAAAGGAGGATAATTTAGTAATCTACATAATATACCCACTCATTTATCCTCCCAACCAAATATATTATTATAACATACCCACCAATTTATTCCAACCAACCAAAAACATTTCTTTAAAGATTCCTTGGTAATCTATCTTTCCCGTAATACAACATTCCTTGAACAAAACACACCCTTAAGGAAATGTGTTTGGTTAGTTGGAATGAATTGGTGTGATGTTATATTAATATATTTGGTTGAGATAAATAAATTGATGGGTATGTTATTTAAATTACTAAATTGCCCTCATTTTAAGATATTAATATAATATTATTTTTTGAATAATTTTTTTAACCCCCAACATTTCAGATTTAGCTAAAACACCCCAACTTATATAAAACTTTAATTTGTAACAAAATCACCCTCACCCACCCCAAGCCACTACCGGCCGCCAGCCACCACCACGAGCCATTGCCTTCCGTCGCCGGAAGTTGCCGAAAATCGTTAAAAATCGCTAAGAGTTACCGACATGGCCGTTTCCGACCATATTGATGGCAAAAAACGGCCAAATGACCGTAGATCTGACCGGAAATGACTATATCTATTTTGGTCATTTCTGGCCAGATCTATTCCGATCATGGAGATTTGCTCCATTCCTTAAGTTTTTAGGTTCAAACCCTTGGAACCACCGACCAAAATAATATTATGACTTACCTAGTCCTTTAAGCTTATAGGGTGTTTATAACCCGATGATTAGTTGAGATGTGTGTAATGCTAACCCAGACACTCTAGTTACCAAAAAAAAAAAAAAAACACTAACCCATCTTTTGGATATATAATGAAAGCCCTAAAAAATAATCAATTGATTAAAGATATTAGTTATTTACTTCAATGTAGTAATACCATATATATAGATATATAAAGAAAGAAGTTCTGCAAGAATCAAATAGTAAAATAGGATGTGCAAAAATCATTCTAACTAGCTAATTAAATACATAATGAAAGATCATGCATCTTCTTCAAGCAGTTGAATTAAATCCTAACGTTACTTCAGCTGAAACCTACATAATGGGCAAACTTGCCTCTCGTTTAGCCAATTACCAATGCAATCACTATGAAAAACATGTGAACAAGGCATGCGCGTGGCCAGAGATCCAAACACAACTTCTTCCAAACAAATTATACATATAGATGGTTCTTTTAATGCTTCAACTTTAACTATCTCCAAAACTGATGGATCTGTCACCCCATAATCCCTAGGAAGTATCTGTACTGGTGTATCAACAAAAAACCCCATGTTAATATCCAAACTTGTGTAAAGATTATCGTCTGTCATTTCTTTAACAAAAATCAATATTTCGTCCACTAGAGATGCTTTAACAGGGATGGACATGGTAGAAAGCATAGCTTCAATGGTAGATTTGGACGCATCATTATTTATTAATCGATCTCGTTCCACCTCGAAGATTCTACGACTCTGAAGGGTGTGCACACTGTCATGTTCATCAAAACCAGGAGGTACAAATTTATGCCAGAGAAAAATCTTAAAGGAGAAATCATTTTGAGGTTTTCGCAATGGATCACCCGGGAATATTATGCAAAAATCTTTGTAGAGGTTTGACATCTTGTAAAAATTAAGTTAAACGGAAGTTTAACTGAAAACAATGGTGAAAATTAAGAACTGAAAGTCGAACAGTGGAAGAAGAGAGTAGATTGATTTCTTGAAGAAGTGAGAAAGATAGAAGTACGTAGTAATAATAGCATTAATGGTTGTGGCAGGTTATGCATATATAGAGAAACAATGTGATAATTGGAGTAGGATTAGTAGTATAAATCTTGACGCAGTTAGGGGGAGAGAGAGAGAGTTTGAAGCTAAAGGAGAAGAGTGTTATGGCGATTGAAGTTCCCAATTTCATGTATGTCCTTGGCGGAATAGGAAATTAGTGTCTCTATCTTTTGTAATGACTCGTCTTAAAACAGGACTCTTTCTTCAAGTCTTTGTTAAATTAATAAATTTGTCTACAGTTTGTTGAGCTTTACACCAATTTAGGTTTTTTTTTTTTTTTTTTTTTCTTTTATCTGGTTCAATGATAGTTAAACTCTACTAGAACATCAAAATCTGGACTTGCTTGGACATGAATTTACTTGCTTGCAGGCACCGTGTTTGGGTGGTCATCATCTTCAGGAACGTTCGGCAATCCATCGACAAATTTTGTAATGCAGACTCGCATATGCAACACCTTATTATTTGAATAGATATTGTTATTTGTCATCTCTCGAGCACATGTTAATATTTTATATCTACCATGACTGGTTTCGTAGGAATATTCATGGCGGAAAACATACCTTTTATTGTTGTTGTATGGCAAGTGTCGCCATCAATAATGGAAACTTTGTTTGCTCCAATGCAATTCCCCACGCCAAAGTGCGACGTTGGAATTAAGATATTACGTCGACGCCATCCCTCATTGGTGTTTAATAGAATTCTCCCCACGTATAAGGTACCGCTGGTGTATTGCATTTTCCCACCCACACCCCTGTATTGGCTTTGTGAAAGCTACCTCGACTCAATTCCAGCCCAGGGTGTCCCAACGCGAGTTGGTTGGCACCAGCTACTTTGAAATATCCCAACGTCTCTTGCAAGACGCGATACAGATGCAGGTTTTGGTCTGGCAGTCAAAGAGGTTTGTTCTCTTTCTTAAGTTCTTGGATTCAAATCTTGGAGTCACTTACCATAATAACATTATAGTTTACTTGACCATTTGAGCTTGTATAATGTTCATTAGATTAGTAGTTGTTTAATTAATTTCTACAAGAATCAAATAGTAAAATAGGATGTGGAAAAATCATTCAAACTAGCTAATTAAATACATAATGAAAGATCGATCCTGCATCTTCTTCAAGCAGTTAAATTAAACTAAAATCAGTTCAGCTGAAACCTACATAATGGACAAACTTCCCTCTGGTTTAGCCAGTTACCAATGCAATCACTATGAAAAACATGTGAACAAGGCATGCGCGTGGCCAGAGATCCAAACACAACTTCTTCCAAACAAATTACACATATAGATGGTTCTTTTGATGCTTCAACTTTAACTATCTCCAAAATTGATGAATCTGTCACCCCATAATCCCTAGGAAATATTTCTACTGGTGTATCAACAGACAACCCTATGTTAATATCCAAACTTGTGTGAAAATTATCGGCGGTCATTTCTTTAATATAAATCAATATTTCGTCCACTAGAGATGCTTTAACAGGGATGGACATGGTAGAAAGCATAGCTTTAATGGTAGACTTGGATGCATCATTATTTATTAATCGATCTCGTTCCACCTCGAATTTTCTGCGACTCTGAAAGATGTACTGTATGTCATGTTCATCGAAACCAGGAGGTACACACTTACGCCAGAGAAAAATCTTAAAGGAGAAGTTTGTGCTATTAAACTGAGGTTTTCGCAATGGATCACCCGAGAACATTTCGCAAAAATCTTTGCAGAGGTTTGACATCTTGTAAAAATTAAGTTTAGCGGAAGTTTAACTGAAAACAATGGTGGAAATTAAGAACTGAAAGTGGAACGGTGGAAGAAGTGAGAAAGATAGAAGTAGTAATAAGCATTAATTGTTGTGGCAGGTTATATGCATATATAGAGAAACAATGTGATAATTGGAGTAGGATTAGTAGTATAAATCCAGACGCAGTTAGGGAAAGGAGAAGAGTTTTATGGAGATTGAAGTTTCTAATTTCATGAATGTCCTTGGCGGAATAGGAAATTAGTGTCTTTAATCTTTTGTAATAACTTGTGTTAAAACAGGACTCTTTCTTCAAGTCTTTGTTAATTGCGTAAGTCTGTCTACAGTTTGATGAGCTTTACACTAATTGGAAGTTCAATTATTGTTAAATTCTACCAGAAAATCAAAATCTAGAATTGAGGTAGAATATTACTTTGTTCATAATAAACAAAAAATATGTGAACAAGACATTCGTGCAGCTTCTAATAAACCAAATAGAGACTCGCATTTGAACATGAATTTGTTTATTCTTTAACTATCTTCAACTCTCCAATTGATGACTTGCTTGCCGGCACTGTGTTTGGGTGGTCATCATCTTCAGGAACGTTTGGCCATTCATCGACAAATTTTCCAATGCAGACTCGCTTATGTAACACCTTATTATTTGAATAGATATTATTGTTATTTGTCATCTCTCGGGCACATGTTAATATTTTATCTACCATGAAAGGTTCGTAGGAATATTCATGGCGGAAAGCATACCTTCTATTGTTGTTGTATGGCAAGTGTCGCCATCACTACTGGAAACTTTGTTTGCTCCGATGCAATTCCCCACGCCAAAGTACGGTGTTGGAATTAAGATATTACGTTGACGCCATCCCTCATTGGTGTTTAACAGAATTCTACCCACGTATAAGGTACCGTTGGTGTATTGCGTTTTCCCCGACGCCCCTGTATTGGCGTCGGGAATGCTACCTCGACTCAATTCCAGCCAAGGGTGTCCCAACGCGAGTTAGTTGGTGCCAGCTACTTTGAAATATCCCAACGTCTCTTGCAAGAACGGACTAATAGGGTCAGCTACCCAATCATACTTCATAATTAAATACCGTTACTGTATAAGACCCGATACAAACGCAGGTTTTCACGCGGGAGAAATACATTCCCAACGCAGGATTTGTCTTTGCCAATGCTATCTCTATGCAGGGATATACATTTTTCTAGTGATGCAGATCACGTTCCACCTCGAGTTTTCTTTGGATTAAGATTTTTTTGAAGTCTCCAAATTCAAGTTCACTCCACTCCATTGAATCAGCCAATGGAGGAAGTGTTAAATAGTAATCAATAGCAACAGAGAATAAATAATTTAAAAATATGAATAAAAAATAATAAAAATAATATTATATATATTTAAAAGGAGGATAATTTAGTAATCTACATAATATACCCACTCATTTATCTCAACCAAATATTATTATAACATACCCACCAATTTATTCCAACCAACCAAAAACATTCTCTAAAGATTCTTGATAATCTATCTTTCCAAATACAACATTCCCCCGTAAACAATATTCCCTGAACAAATGCACCCTTAAGAAAATGGTTTGGTTAGTTGGAATGAATGGTGGGTATATATATTAATATATTTGGTTGAGAAATAAATTGGTGGATATGTTATTTAAATTACTAAATTACCCTCATTTTAAATATTAATATAATATTATTTATTATTAATTTTTGAATAATTTTTTTAACCCCCAACATTTCAGATTTAGCTAAAACACTCCAGCTTATAAAACTTTAATTTGTAACAAAATCACCCCCACCCACCCCAAGCCACTAGTCGCCAGCCACCACCGCGGGCCATCGTCTTTCGTCGCCGGAAGTTGCTGAAAATCGCTAAAAATCGTCGAGAGTGCCGACATGGCTGTTTCTGACCATATGATGGCTAAAAATGATCAGATGACCGTAGATCTAGTCGGAAATGACTAGATCTATTTGGTCATTTCCGGCTAGATCTATTCTGATCATGGAGGTTTGCTCCATTCCTTAAGTCTGGGTTCAAACTCTTAGAACCACCGACCAAAATAATTATGACTTACTTAGTCATTTGGGTTTGCAGGGTGTTTATAACCCGATGATTATTGAGATGCATGCATGCTAGCTCGGAAACTCCGATTACCAAAAAAAAAACACTAACCCATCTTTGGATAAATAATGAAAGCCTCAAAAAATAATCAATGATTAAAGATATTAGTTATTTACTTCAATGTAGTATACCATATATATAGTATATAAAGAAAGAAGTTCTACAAGAATCAAATAGTAAATAGGATGTGCAAAATCATTAACTAGCTAATTAAATACATAATGAAAGCATGCATCTTCTTCAAGCAGTTGAATTAAATCCTAACGTTACTCAGCCGAAACCTACATAATGGGCAAATTGCCTTCGTTTAGCCAATTACCAATGCAATCACTATGAAAAACATGTGAACAAGCATGCGGTGCCAGAGATCCAAACACAACTTCTCCAAACAAATTACACTATAGATGGTTCTTTTGATGCTTCAATTTAACTATCTCCAAAACTGATGGATTGTCACCCCATAACCCTAGGAAATTTCTACTGGTGTATCAACAAAAACCCCATGTTAATATCCAAACTTGTGTAAAGATTATCGTCTGTCATTTCTTAACATAAATCAATATTCGTCCACTAGAGATGCTTTAACAGGTGGACATGGTAGAAAGCATAGCTTCAATGGTAGATTTGATGCATCATTATTTATTAATCGATCTCTTTCCACCTCGAACATTCTACGACTCTGAAGGGTGTGCACACTGTCAGTTCATCAAAACCAGGAGGACAAATTTATGCCAGAGAAAAATCTTAAAGGAGAAATCATTTTGAGGTTTTCGCAATGGATCACGGGAAATTATGCAAAAATCTTTGTAGAGGTTTGACATCTTGTAAAAATTAAGTTAAACGGAAGTTTAACTGAAAACAATGGTGGAAATTAAGAACTGAAAGTCGAACAGTGGAAGAAGAGAGTAGATTGATTTCTTGAAGAAGTGAGAAAGATAGAAGTACGTGTAATAATAGCATTAATGGTTGTGGCAGGTTATGCATATATAGAGAAAACATGTGATAATTGGAATAGGATTAGTAGTATAAATCCTGACGAGTTAGGGAGAGAGAAAGAGAGAGTTTGAAGCTAAGGAGAAGAGTGTTATGGCGATTGAAGTTCCTAATTTCATGAATGTCCTTGGCGGAATAGGAAATTAGTGTCTTTATCTTTTGTAATGACTCGTCTTAAAACAGGACTCTTTCTTCAAGTCTTTGTTAAATTAATAAATTTGTCTACAGTTTGATGAGCTTTACACCAATGGAGGTTTTTTTTTTTCTTCTTTATCTGGTTCAATGATAGTTAAACTCAGAAGATCAAAATCTAGACTGCTTGGACATGAATTACTTGCTTCAGGCACCTGTTTGGGTGGTCATCATCTTCAGGACGTTCGGCAATCCATCGACAAATTTTGTAATGCAGACTCGCATATGCAACACCTTATTATTTGAATAGATATTGTTATTTGTCATCTCTCGAGCACCGTTAATATTTATTCTACCATGAATGGTTTCGTAGGAATATCATGCGGAAAACATACCTTTATTGTTGTTTGTGGCAAGTGTCGCCATCAATAATGGAAACTTTGTTTGCTCCATGCAATTCCCCACGCCAAGTGCGAGTTGGAAATAAGATATTACGTTGACGCCATCCCTCATTGGTGTTTAATAGAATTCTCCCACGATAAGGTAGCTGGTGTATTGCGTTTTCCACCCACACCCCTGTATTGGCTCGTGAAAGCTACCTCGACTCAATTCCAGCCCAGGGTGTCCAACGCGAGTTGGTTGGCACCAGCTACTTTGAAATATCAACGTCTCTTGCAAGACGAGATACAGACACGAGGTTTTGGGCAGGAGAAATACATTCCGACACAGGCTTTGTCTTTGCCAACGTGTCTCTGTGCAGAGACATACATGTTCTAGTGATGCAGATCACGTTCTACGTCGAGTTTTCTCCGATCAAGATTTTTTTTAAGTCTCCAAATTTTCAAGTTCACTCCACTCCATTGAATCAGCCAATGGAGGAAGTGTTAAATAGTAATTAATGGCACAGAGAAGATGATGCAAGTTCGAGATTCATCATTAGGGTTTACAATGTTGATCGGCCATGCCTCACAATAAGAGAGAAAGAGAACAAAGAGATGACTTCAATGTAAGATAATATAATAAAATAATTCTCCTCTTTATCACCACCACATTAATTAGAAAGCTTATCATTTTTATCCTAGCATCTTGTACCTTGCTGACACATAAATAACCACATCATTAACAGGCAAAGTTAATTAGACTCTAACTTCGTATGATATATATTATTATGATAATACTTTCGTTCAAAAATAGTTAATTCATCTCAAATCTACGTAACGGACAAACTCATTCTTATTTAACTAATACTTATGCGACCACTATGAAAAACATGTGAACAAGGCATATGTTCACATTTTTTTTTTTTTTTTTTTTTAATTTCTGCGAACTTGGCCCCCCGTAAAAGAACGGACCGGACCGGACCGGGTATGAATAAAAAAGAACAAGCCCAAATTGGTGGACCTATACCCTATATTTTATTGGTGAGTAGGGGTTACTTACTTAAAAAAAGTATAGGACGTTGAATTTATCATCGAAAGGCATGATTTTAAATTTTTAATATTATAATAGAATTTATGTGGTTGTGACATATGCCATCATAGTATAATAAAAATGGTGTAAAAGAGTTGTGTAAATGCAATATTACTCATACCACAATAGTGTAATGTTCTTTTCTTAACAAACCTTTTTATAATTTTTTTTTAAAGGAATTGGTCAATTAATTCATCAATTTTTAATACAATATGAAGATAATCTGAAAAATTCAAGTTTGTCATCGTTCGAA